GGGTTGCAAGATATACCCGAGAATTTTTTGAAATCTGTTATAATAAAAATAGTTATGAAAGAGATGTCATACAAAAAGTTAATTGAATACTTGTAAAGTGCTATGTAATTTGAAAGATTAAGACATGAAACTTCCTCAAATTATTCATGAAACTTCTTCAAAATATGTATTTTCCTACTTTTATCATATACCTACACCAATATGAAGTTGAGATGTTTTCTTCATTAGTGTTGTTTATAAAAGGGCCCTCTTTTATAAAATTCGTGTCTATGCGAAAATCACAAAATATTAAAGCATTTTTAAATGCAAGTCAAAGAGTTTAAACGAAAAATCACATTAAACGAAAGATCATATATTAAACTTGGCTAAAACTAAGTATATACTTAGTTAAAACCAAAACGTTTGTTTGATAAACAAACCCCAAAACGAACCAGGGGTAAAAACTAACCAACGATTTCAAAAAGTAAAACTTACTATCAAAAGTTCAAAAACTAAGAACACAAAGGGGCAGAATCCAATATGGAATCATCAATAGCAGGAGAAGATTCAACTTGAGCACAGGAAGCTTAAAAACTAACTTCACCAGGAGTAAGCTCATCACCTTCGGGAACGCCGACCTCAGGTGAATGAAAATCTTGACTTTGCTGAGTTTTTTTGATTGCCTCTTTAGCTTTAACAATCTCAACATTGAGATCAAAACCTTCTTGGCTAGCCTTCATCAAAGTCTCGAGGCGAGTATTTAAAAAAGCCCAACTTACATCACGTGTCGATTTATCTTCAAGGGCTTCATAATATTTCTCCCACTGGTTAATTTCAGCCTCCAACTCTTCTTTCTCAATCAAAGAAGCATCGTAAGAAACCTATAAAGGGGAGAGGGAACTCTCCAAGAATTGGATCTTATCAGAAGAGACACAGAGGTCTTCTTGAACCTTAGTGAGTGTTTGAACTAGCTCCCCTGCATAAGTCTCCTTCTGATTAAGGAGTTCTTTCAAACCCATTATCTTCTCAGTAGCTTTAGAAAGTTGCTTTGCAAACGAAGACTCAAGGATGTCTTTGTCTTTGTCTTTGCCAACTTGACTTGAAGAGGTTTTTTCAACTGCCAATTTCGTCGCCATCATCCTTGCTTGTTGTTCCAAAGTATATTTCTCTAGCTAAAACTTCTTTCTCCCATTGAAGACCCTCGTATTGTTCCTTCCAGTTATCCACTTCAGTACGATAATCATTGACTAGCTGCCCAGTGTGAACATTTATCTTCATGAGCTCTGTGCCTATCAAGTTGATCCACAAAAGAAAAGAAATAAGTGATTGTCACACAAAAGTAAATAACCACGAGGAAAAGAAAAGAAAAAGCTAAGGCTTGAACCTTCAAAGATGAATGAACAATATCATTCATCCATGTTAAGGAGATGTGGTTTTCCAAATTTGACTTCTCAACTAGGCCGATCAGAGGTTTCAACCATACGTCTGCTTGACCAAATTTTTTCAACAGATTACCACCTTCAGGAACTTTTATGATAACTTTTTTCATCACCCTATTGCTACTAGAAGTACCAACTTTAGCATGAGAAGTAGTAACAACAGGGACAATTGAGGAAGTTAAAGCAGCCACGGGAGGAGCAGTAGCAGTAGTAACAGGAACGGTAGATTGAGAACAAATAGGGACTGATGCTGGAAGAGGAGTAAGGGGTAATTCTTCAAAAACGGGACCAAAATCTTCACTACTAAAACCATGGGAAAATAGTTGATCAGTAGAGTCATGAAGGGGAGCATTCATCTCTTCATTATAACTCACTAAAGTAGCATCTTCAAGCTCATTCACAGGAACTGAACTTGGAGGAGGGGTGACTTTACCATCTGAAATAACGTGCCTCCTAACCCAAGGCCTGCACACTAAGGAACCCTCTTCTTGTTCCTCTTCACCTTATGAGATACGGGCTCCGTCTACTTTTCTCTTTGCTGAAGAGCTCAGAATCCTTTCTTGAGCAAGACTCACCGTAAGTCTCGCAGATGAAACAGAAGCAGGACTAACACCGCGAATGGAAAATCCTAACAAAAGCAAAGAGTCACGGTGAGAAACTCTTAACTTAGCAAAAGACAAAAGGAAGAAGACTAAACGGGAAAAAGTACCGTGTGTTTTAACTTTACACCCAAATCTATGAGAAAGATACTTCCAAGATCTTCTCTCCATAGGGGCAATAAATAGCAACTTTCCTACCCAAGCACGGAAGTTGGGAATTTCCTTAAAAACTTTCATAGTTGCGAAAAAAGCAGGGGTGAGAATACATGAGAATCAATTTTTGAGAAAGGAAAAAGGTGAGATACAAATACTTACATGCAAAATTTTATTTTTCTGGAAAAGGCATATTTTCTTCACCCATCAAACATTAGTGGGAGCAGCAACGAAGCGAGCATACCAGCCTCGATCTCTATCATCCTCAAGGCTAACCAATACTCTCTTACTTTTAGCCACAAGGGAAAAAACTCCTTCATGAAATAGTTTGGGAGAGTAAGATAGAGTAGGTGACGAAAAGTAAAAGGCATAGAAGCCAAGTTTGATAAAAAATGGAGGCATGCAACAGTTCTCCAAATAATAGGACAAATCTGTCCTAAACACACATTAAAGTAATAACAGTACTCAATAATTACCGGGTCAATAGGAGGTTTAAAACCTAGGGTAAAAGCATATGTATAAACGAAGGAATAGCCAGTTTAATATGAAGTTATTCTTTAGTAGAACCACGGACTAAAATTGAGAAGTCGGGTTTCCAATTACATTCTCTTCGAACCAGAGCGACAAGAACAGTGGTAATCAGAGTTGGGTAACAATCAACACGATCAAGGGAAGCAGCCATGGAAGAGACTTGACTCTTCATGGATCCACTATCAGTCACAAAGGATAGCTCTTGAGGAACAATTTCATCAACAGTAGGTTTACGTAGAGCTTCAGTTGAATTTTTGTCTTTAGAAGAAGATTATAAGGTTGCAGAAGCCCTAGGTCTAGAAGAAGATGGATTGGCAGCACTACTTTGAGAAGGGGAACCACGGTTAGAAATGGAACCAAGGCTCCGTAATCTACCACCTCTTCTACTTCTAGTAGGTACATTAGAAGAAGCAAACTCATCAACAGTGATAACTTTGCGAGGATCAGGGGAAGCCATGATTAACTAGAGAAACACAAGAAAAAGATGCAGAAAGAAGTAAGACAAGAAGACGAAGAAGGAAAGGCTTTAGAAAATAGGAAAAAAGGGGTGAAGTATTTATAGGAAGACATGACTATTGAGGTCATTATGAAGCGTCATAATGGAACCGTCACTTCGTGACTGATGCGGTTGTAGGAAAACCCTAAAAGACGCTGAAGAACTAAAGGACTAGTTGGTAAAATCCACGTGGCATGATCATTAAATAAAAGTGATGAACGTCACATCGATTCAGAAAAGGATATGATTGTATTCGAAAACGGTGGCAGAGGATTCCCGCCATAAAACATTTCCACTTCCCCAAATATTCAGTAGAGAACATTCAAGAAAGTGGGGGGACTATCTGTATTGGTAGTGAAAAAGAGCTACACGTGGAATGTTAGACTACTGACTTGGCATAACACGTAAGAGTAACAATATAGCAACATGTGGCAGTCTTATTTGATAGAGTAAGAAAAGGCATGGGAAGAAACACCCACGAGACAGTACCGGACCTAAAAGCCGGCAAAGAATGAATAAATAATAGAAAGAAGAAAGATACATGGACCGGAAAGAAATAAGGAAGGGGGAATCGTAACAGATGTAAGACATTTATAGCAATAAATGCATCGGTTATGAGAATCCAAAATAGAGGGCAATCAATATCATTAATGCCCATAATTAGCACAAATTACGGGGGAAAACCGTTACTATTGTACATTCATATATAAAGGCACATAATTTTATTTGTAAAGACACATCTCCTTTCTCAAAATTCTCTGCTTTGATCCTGCAATCAGCTACTTCCTTATTTATTTTTTTGTTATTTTCCTTTGATACTGTTGAGAAAGTGAAGCAAAACTTGGTTATCAGAAGCCCGTTTTCTTCTAAAATTAGTCTTTGACCGAAAGATAAATTTTTGGTTAAACAGGGTATTTCCAATATTACACAAAAAATTGATTAAAAATATTATTTGAGTAAGAAAATAGTTCAAATATAATATAAAAATATATTATCGTGGGGGTTTATTATTCTCAATTTCAACTCTTTATGCAATCCATTTAATATTACTTTTTTATGGTATTGGACATTATGGAGTAGTAATGTATTGCCAATACGGAGGATTCTTATGAAATTGATTTTATTAAGCCTTCCTGCATATTTTTAATAAGAATTTAATAGATAAAATTTTATTAATTTTAAAAAAATTTAAATATTAAAAATTAGTAAAAATGGTATTGTAGTCCAAAAAATAGGGTATTGCAGTTATGTCCTTTAATTTCCTATGCTTTCACTTAATATTTTAGGATTATTGGTATATTAATATTGTAGTTATGCTTTTATAATAATATATGCTCTCATTTTTCTAAATGGATTTGGACAATATAATAATTGTCAAATTAAATTAGTAATAGGACATTATAATATATTTTCGAATTAAATTAGTAATATGAATTTTTAAGAAGTATATCCTAAAAGTAATAGGATTACATGACTAAAGATATTTACTTGTTCAATTTTATATGAATTAGACACTCCGAAAGTAATTATACTAATAGTATTCTAAAGATAATTATGTAGAATTCCTACGGTGTAGTATTATGTCCCAAAACTAATTATGGGAGTATGTGAGAGCTTACTTAGTTCCTGTCGTATTTATCCTTTCTACAAAATTTAACTAGTTTCAGTTTAATCATAACTTGGGAAAAACATAATGCCAACTTTTTACCCGACCGAAAAAGAAGAAAAAAAATTACTCCAAAAACTGTAAAGAAGATTGGAGAAACATGTCCAACATGAAGTAATAGACATACAAGAGTTGAAAGAAAAGGTAATACTCCAAAAAGAAATAACATAAGACCAAAACATTTAATTTGCAGAAAACAATGAATTCAAAGAAGATTGCTGAAGATATATGCAGTTAGTAGTAGTAGTATCTTCGTGATGGCCCGTCGACCAAGTCAAGCATAGCCTGTCTTGATCTTGCCGCAATCTGAGCTTCAATTTGTGCTGCTATTAGCTGTTCATGAGCATCATTAGCTGAATTTATCATCTCAACTGCTGAATTTGGATTTGGATTTGGATTTTGACGTTTTTGTGATCTCGGTAAAACATCATCTTCAGGACTTGCACAATGCAAGTGCGTCCCGAAATCACATTCAGCGCAATAGTACAACCAATCGGCTTTGTTCATTATTGCATTGCAGATATCACAAGCAAATACGGTCTCCTTATCTTCGTATGGAGAACCATAGAACAGCTCCAACTCATGTGGGTGTTTGTCAACATGTATTGACCTTGGAATTTGGAGTTCCTCTTCCTCCCCTTCTTCGTCCTCCTCTTCTTCTTCATTGCCGTCTTCCTCCTCTTCTTCTTCCTCTTCATCTTCTTCTTCATTGCCGTCTTCCTCTTCTTCTTCCGCTTCCACTTCCTCCTCTTCTTCTTCCTCTTCCTCTTCCGCTTCTTCATCTTCTTCACCTTGCTCTTCCTCTTCTTGATTGGTTTCTTGTATCTTGATTGGTGCTTCCTTTGGTTTCATGATTGGATTTACTTCTGGTATGTTGAGTACTGGCCGTTCTCGTACTTGTTGGCTGACAGGTTTGGAATTTCCACATTCGAGATGTGTTCCAAAATCACATTCAGCACAATAATACAACCAGTAATTAAGATCTGCATTGTCGTGACAGAGATCACAAACAAAAACAGTGCTCTCATCTTCCTCATCATCATCAAAAGGTGAATCAAATATGAGCTCAAGTTCATGACGGTGCTGCGGAAGGAATACAGTATGAGGCAAAAGGGCACAATGCAAGTGGATATCAAATTCACAAGCGGCACAGCTAAAACTATAGCCATTGCCATCAGAGCCACAAGCTTTGCAAGTATACGACCGATTCGTGTACGTAGGAACTGGGAGAAGGGTCAAGTGGTGGTAAGGATGAGACAAATGATCGAGAAAACGAGGAGCATTTAAGCAGTTTTCGTGAAGGAAATACTGGCAGCTATTGCAGCCATAGAAATTAGGGTTGTTTGGTTTTTCACAAGCATTGCAACTGAGAGTTTCAGCTTCTGTTGGATTCACAAGTTTCAAGATGTGGGGGTGGCTGAAGTGTTGTTTACCTAGACTTGGAGCATCTCTCCGTTTCTCTCTTCCCATTTTCCTTTGTAATTAACTTGGTTGGTAATCAATAAGGAGGTATACAATCGAAATATATACTTTAGAGAGCTAGCAAGTTCAATGATCACACTAGCTAATTTGTATTTGTATTTGCAGCTACGTACCCTATTTAACTAGAATATGATACTAATAAGTTGGCAGTGCTAATTGATTGCTATTGCTTCAACGTACGACTTGGTTTTCATCATCTTTTAATCTCTTTTGTAAGTCGTCTCCGACAACAATTTGGCCAATTGTTATTCAAAAATAGTTTAGTTACCATAATTTGACTGATTAAAAATGGCGTTGCATTATGAAGGTTTTTGCTATTATTCATATAGATAATGCTATATTATTCGTACAGCTCATTGTTTAAGAACCTTTATTTTTCTTCTTATTCTCAGTCTCAGTTTGTTTCTTGGAGACCAATTCCAAATGACACCTAATTGGCACCAATTCAATTGCATGACCATACCAGTTTCTTGAATTTTACCAAACTTTTCTATACAGTCAACTTAACTATAGTATATTTAATTGAAACTAAATTAGATCTTTGCAACATTTTACTCATAGTAGACTTTAGGCTCGTCACTACCACATGCTTTACATTCCAAATAATAGACTCCCTCTGGTCCATAATAAGAAGTAATTTAGTCAAAATACAGTTTTTCTCTATGGGTTAGTATTTTCTTAAAGGGCATGTTAAAAGCTAAAAATTCATTTATTATGGATCGGAAGGATTAATATAGAAGACACTTAGCTCTAGTTGGCTTTGTAAATGCTCGTGTGTGATATAAATAGGAAGTTAAATCCACCAGACCACCAATTTCGACAAATTTAAGCCATGGGTTCGAACTGCGAAAGCAATTACTAATGCTTATATTAAAGTAAGTTGTCTACATCATATACCCAATAGGGTGCGGTCTTTCACCAAATCTTACGAACGCATGATACTTTGAGCACGGGCTACTCTTTTGATAACCTGGGAAGTCAACTGTATTGAGGTTCATGGAAGTTACGGTCAAAGTCTACTGTTAGACTTTTTGCTCTTCCAAGTTGGCATTTGATCATTCATTATCATACTGCTGACTAATAATTCATTCTACTATATTCTAAATGTTTCATTTAGACTAATATATTTATTTGCTTGATTCAAATCAAACCAAAAAGGTATTTAGTGCCAACTAAATAATTAATTTTTTAACCAAAAGTGGAACAAACTGTCTCGTCATATAGTCATATTCATTATTCTCTCAGAAACAGAATTATATAGTAATCATTTATATCATTCCTAACTTGCAAACCGATCACTCAGCCTTAGACCTAGCTACCAATTTTACATTGTACGTGTCATTTTACATTTTTCTTTAATTTAATTATATCATTTTTTGTTCTCGAAGGGGAGAGTGGACCATGAACATAATATGAAGGGAAAAAAGTAGGAAGGAGCATGAGATGACAGTTTCACACGTAGGTATATGTGGTGAATGGTATTGGTTGGGTTTTTTCTTGTAGTGCCTGCTAAATTATAGTTGAGCATAATGGTCAAAATTCCACTTCGAGCGAAACAAATTAACAAGAGTTTACTCTTTTATTGTGAAAATTAAAATACAAAACTCAAATGGAAAACCAATGAAAACAACAGCACGGAGTTTTCGAAGAAACATAACACATTGAGGGATGTACACCTCTCGAAACAATCAACCAGCTTGTAATTAACTTTAACAGCTAGTAGATGATTTGGTTGTTACCTGTCGTATTGTATCGTATTGTAATTTAAATATAATATTTGTTTCGATTGTCACTTACTTTTTATTGTATTGTATTATTATATCCGTCATTATGTAATGACAAAAAGTTCCACCTTATGAATCGATCAATTTGATGTGGTTATGTTGCTAGCTTATTTTTTTCTCTCATCTTGCTTTTTTTTACTATTAAATAATCCTATTATATCTTCTACCCTACCTTTTTATATAATAATATTACCTCGTACTCTTACTTTTTCTTTATTATAATATTGCAATTTTATTCTTCATATTGTTGGTGCGACATCATGAAATCATGACGGCAAATAATACAATCTATCCAAATATAGTATACATTAAAACGATACAATAGAGTACAATACATTATGAAACGATACATAACAATCATAACACACAGAGACTCTCTTCTCTAGTAAGAAAAGAGCTTTTATTTAAGTTTGTGACCTATGACCATAAATCCGTTGCTATTTCGTTGAAATTAGCTACCGATTATTTTCGGTCACTAAAGTAGGTCTGTAGTGAGCCATTAATAACAATGAGAGCTACGCCACATATTGGTTATAGCTTGGGCGTTCATATAGGCCATGTGAGCTTGAAAGTTAAGCCTTGCCTGTTGTCCTTGAGCTTTGATTGTTGCCATCATCAATCTTTGCTCATTAGTCATATTCTCTTCCTCTTCTTCTTCTTCGTTCTCAAGGCTCAAACCATCTTCTCTTTTAACAGTCGCACATTTCAAGTGTGTGCTAAATTTACACTCGGCACAATAATAAAGCCAACGGCTGTCATTGCAAAGTCCGTCGCACACCTTGCAAAAGAGATGCACATAATCATCAATAGGAAATGGCCATTGATATTGGAGTGTAAGAGAGTGTTGGTGATCTTCACGAGTCACATTTTCTGGCCAAGAGATAGCACAATTAGCATGGAGACTAAAGTTGCAATCGAGGCATTCGTAAACAAAGGCTTTTGGTTCTTCACCGCATGCATTGCAACCAAAATAAATTGAGTCTCGTTCGGGTAGACTAGGGTATAGAGTAAGAGGGTGAATAGGATGGGAATTGTGTTGAATTTTTCTTGGTAATTCGAAGCATGATTTGTGCAGGGTGAATTCACAATTAGGTTTGGTGCATTTGTAAGAAGTGCCAGAAAGTTTATTCTCACAACCTGAACAGATTATCTCATTTGTTTCTTCAACTTCACAGAATTCTAAGGCATGGGGGTGGCTGAAATGCTTCATTTTTTATTTTATTTTTTGCTTATTCGTTAAACACTTAGTACTAGTGTGGTTTTAAGTATTCTGTAAGTGATATACATAGCATGTTAAATATAGAAATCCTGGCAAGTTGGTGACATGAAAGTCAAATATTGAGGTTCAAGGAATTTACAACAACAACAACGACCCAGTATAATCCCATATAATCCCATAAGTGGGGTCTGGGGAGGGGTTCAAGGAATTTACACTTGTGGAAAATTTTACGGGGTATAATCAATAATGAGTTGACTAATGACTCTTCGTGCTTACAGATTTGGACATTTGAAATATCGTTAGCAAATTGAGTGATAAAAAAGTCAAAGATAGAACATAGACTTTGGACTTTAATTGGATCAGCTTGTGCTACTATAGCAAGTTGAGTATTGACCCCTACGTTCTACATTTTGGAGCAACTATTTTTTGGGGGGATATTTAAAAAAAAGTTGCTCCTAAATATAGGAGTATATGTTTAACATTATTAGTTTTGACTGTCACCTAGATTATTTCTTCCTTCTTAAAGTAAAGAAAATTAAAAGTTAGTAACTTTCTGGCTGCGACCATTTCAATTTTGCTTTTAGAAGTTAACTTTCTGGAAACAAAGTCTAGGCAATGCTTAAACTTTGCTACCTGAACAACATTCAGTATCCTGAATAAGTAATACTCCATCTAACATCGAAGTTAGGCCAATGCCTCTCGCTTAAACGTCTCAATGAGGGGAACAAAGACATCCCCTGAATCCATGTGGAAAATAAGTTGTACGCTACATGTCGCTTAAACCACACTTTGCACCAAGTCACTAAGGCATGCATCTCATTGTCCATAGACTCTACACTAAACAATAAATATTTCACATATCTTTCAAGAATTTGTTGTCTATCTAATTGTTGTTTGAGTTTATAGATATTACTCTTGAATTACATATATATTTTTTATATTTCCTTAAACTGCACGTGTTCATAACAAAATGATGAAGTACGTACTTTCATTAATGGCATCAAGCACATGCAAAAAGAACAAAAGATGATCACTACATAAAGATAGTTTCAGCTCCGATACAAGTTTTGCTAAGGTAGATACAAGGAGCCGACAAAATCCAAAAATTGCTCAGGGGAATTTACATGGGAAAAATTACGCCAACAAAAAGGAAACAAAAGAGATCTAGCAATAAGAGCATTTGTTCACAAAACATCCATGCTTTACTAACGCTTGCGCTTAACGCCCCAACTGGCTCCCGTGCTTTTTTGCTTTTTCCTTTGGATAACACGGGCAGTTGAAGAACCTTGACCCTGCCATTAGAGAAAAGAGCAAAAAATAACTTTGATAATTACAATAACAAACAACTTGAACTTACTAAATGCAGGTTACTGCTCAATGCAGTGAGACTTCGAAGCAAGATGAACTTGATGAAAATATGGCTAGTTATTAGCTCCACAGAATTACAAGATCAACTTTCAGAAAATCCTCTGAAGACATAACATAACAAATCTTATTGTATTTACAATTTTCTGTTCATTTTTATATGATTCGATGCTAAGGTGTGCAAATCAACTACTCAAAGCACAATTTCAGAAGCTTAAAGAATAATGCATTCAAAGATTTAAGTTTAAAAATTCTACAGAGTGCCCAGCAAGTGGCCAAGCCAAAATACCACATTAACCTCAATCAGACATGACCAGACTTTTCTATAATATTTCCAGGGGTAAGTGGAGTAAACAAGAGCGTTCAAATAGATAAATACCTGACTCAAAGCTTAGAACTGTCTCCAACAGACAGAATATCCAAGAGGCAACAAGCTACAAAAAAGTGATGCTTCTACTAAAACATCAATGTTTGGAAGCATAGGTCCTATTTACATTGGCATCATGATCCCAGGTAGCAAGCATTCCAGAATAAGGTCATCATGGCTGGAGTTAGTTAATACCACATATGTAGACCTGAAGAATTTATATGACTACAACCCTTCCTACCCTCCTCTAAATCCAATCAAATCAGCTCCAGTGTTTGTCCAGCTGCCGTTGAGAAATAGAAAAATCAAATTGCACTTTGCTCTGGTGGTATGCTTCTTGTTCTAGGTAAAGTGAGGGGTCAGGTATGAGAGACCACATAAGAAGCCGCGTTGACTTGCTATATCATTGGTGTAACTTACTTGTCCTTAGGATACGCGTATGGTCTTGGATTGGGCTACCTCACAAGGTCCTCAGAGTAGAAAATTAAGTCAGCGTCTTTTACAGGAACATGTGTTGTTTTTTTAGTTATTTTCTGTAAATAAAAAGCAGCCACCAAGAACATTTCCTCTTAAAGTTTTCTCTTTCTATTCAAAAATTGACACCCCCAGTTGTATTACATTTTCTAGAATATGTGTTTAGTATGCCTGCCTTCGCAATATTTAGGGGTCTGTCACCATTTTCAATGTCAATACCTTTTATATTCAACATCATAGTTGACCTCTATGCTTTTTCCTTTTTCGTCTTTTTAATAACTTATTGCACATTCTACCTAATTAAATAAACAGTTATTATGAACTTGTTTTTCAAAAAAAACTTTTCCATTTATACAGATCATTTGACAGTGAGATCTGCTCAACAACCAAAGCATCTCAGGTAAATGCCGTTTGTCTTGATGCACGTCAATTATACAATGTTCGGAAACCATATAAACCATGCAGGCAATGTGGTAAGTTCTGCTAGTGTTGGAATGTGGTAAGACTTCAAACTTCATGCATCTAAACAACTAACCAGTTATAACCTCTTTTTTAGCCGTAAGTGTAGCTTAACAACTGAATTACTAAAATGCAACTCGTTCAAGTGTATGGTACTACCATATTTTGCTGCTTGCTCCTGATTAATACTCTTTAGTTTATTGATTGCAAAAACTAAAAAGAAATCAACGATCTTCCCTATTTCAGAAGTGATCATTTGTGTTCATTGTTTAACATAGAAAAAGAAAATTTGAAAAAAAAAAAAACAGAAAGAAAGAGAAAACATATTGGAAGGGCTAATCAGCAAACTAGATTGGCAACTACTGGACCGACGATAGAAGTTCCAGCCCAGATTAATACTGGCAACCTGGGATACACCAAGATTAATGGCGTTCCCAAACCATGCGTTCCCAATAGCTCTTATATTTCATACTGGCAACCTGGCATACACCAAGATTAATGGCGTTCCCAAACCATGAGTTCCCAATAGCTCTTATATTTCATACTGGCAACCTGGCATACACCAAGATTAATGGCGTTCCCAAACCATGCGTTCCCAATAGCTCTTATATTTCATACTGGCAACCTGGCATACACCAAGATCAGTGGTGTTTCCAATCCATGAGTCACAGATGCGTGTTCTTGTTTCTAACCATACTTTACAAGCCATAATTTTTTCTGAAATCAGATTTGTCTCACGACATATAGCAGCCCATAAATTGACTTTAGTACAAGCAAGAGTCTTTTATGCGGTTTTTAATGGCAGGAAAGTATGACTAAGTTGCCAATTGGACACTAAAACTCCTTTTTCTGCAATATCATGTCTCACGCCATTAGCTGTTTATTAATATGTAACAGTTACTTAGGGCACACAGCAATGCATTGAAGTGAAGATTGTGAATAGAAAAAGGAGTGGGAGCTCAAAAGATCACGTTAAGAGACTCAATCTCATTAAAATAATGATCAGGCAGCAAGGCAGAAAAAGAACAATACCTGTTGCATTCTGACAATTAGAGCAGCCATCTCCATCTTATCTTGGATCCTTTTGTCCATTTCTAATCGCATTTGTCTACGCTCCTCTTCCATCTGCTCTTGAAACCTTTTGTCCATTTCAGCTCGCATTTGTTCACGTTCTTCTTGCAACTTTCGCTCCATGTCAGCTTGCATCTCATAACGCACACTTTCTATTGCAGAAGACAGGCTAGACCCTAAGTCTCCCTGTTGCATGCGGCTCTTTTTGAGAGGCTGTTTTCCATAACCTTTTCCACGAACATAGCCTGTTCTCTCGCCAAGTACAATGGCTAAAATCTCATCTCCATTCATTGGACTCTCGTTTTCTTCATATTCTTGCTGACCCACAAGTTCCTGGATCTGGTCCTGCAATTATGCATGACCATTTATAATTAACATATAATAATAAATATATAAAATTAATAAGCCAATGATTTTCGGAAATTACATAAATTTGTTGAGATCGTGGATCTGACCACAGCAGTTCTCCTTTATCATTCTTACGCGTATGTTGGAGCTCCCAGACACGATCTGGCGGTGCCTTTTCTCCAGTCAGAGGATCCCTCTACAATATATTTCAGTAGAGGAAAACACATGTGAGCACATAATACGGTATAAATAAATAACAAAGAAGTGTATGATTGTTAAAATAAATGCATTTTCACCGTAGATTCCTCTACTTCTGCAAAAGACTTTGAGCCACATGAATGCTTAGTTGTTTGCTTTTTCCTGTTTGTTTTGTTTCTCTCGCTTACAGCCTGCAATTAAGTCAATAGATTAAGAGACCAATATCCAAATGATAATATACCAAACATTCTTTTATCAAGCTACCTTGAATGTCGGACTTCCAAAATATTGTACCAGAAATTCCCAATCCTCAGGCATAACATCTTTTGGCGGATGGGACAGTCTCTCCTCATCAGTATTATAACGTAAGTATTCAGCATGCAACCGAGTCTTCCACGTTCTAAAAAGCCTTTGCATAGTGCTGGCTACAAAACCTTGCAACACATGCTCTCCCCTACCGCCACCAACTTCAAATTTCTCCTGAAACATGTATGTGAAGTTATAACTTTCTTTTTGAGAGGTAATGTAATTTTATAAATAAACCAGCATAAAGAAAGTTAGAATTGTTATCCTAACAACATAAATAATGCATGATTTATAGAATCAAATATTGATAGTAAATTAGTAACATATTACCTGAACCTTCAGCCACATAGTTTGTCCATGCTTTGCAAAAATTTTTGCCCACTCACCATCTCTGAACGAGATAGTGCTCCTCATGATCAAGCCACAATAATTAACAATATCCCTAGCCCCAGGACCCACAGCTCTATCGATGTCATCCGGAATGTAAACTGTGATTTTGCTACCACACTGAGTTTTCATATCCACGTGTATGGATCTATATTTTCCCCTGCCTTTCTTAGTATTGCTGAAAGAAACTGCGAAGCAAGAAATATAGGACAATTAGAAAACTTTACAGCAAGAGATATATTATACAGATTACAAAAGAAAAACAGAAACCAGCTGATACCGATTAAAAAATTTGAAGTTTTTTCTGTCTAAGCTAAACTAAATGATACTTTTTCCCCCACCGCAGCAGCCTGCATCTGGAACTGGTCATAAGCCAATAGCTTTACCAGCTGAGAAAGGGAAAACATATATGAACACCTTTCAGAATAATTCCAAAGCAATCCAACAGAGATATGGCTGGCAAGATTTATAAGAGATCTTGAGGGTACTTTCCAGAGAAGGTGGTTCGTGTAAGCTGTGATGATATATCCAGATATCCTTTAGTTTAACAAATAAAGTATCAACAGTTTCAGCAAAATGACTCAAAAATATAGTTCCTCCTATTATGGTTGTCCCTGCTATTGAACTGGTATATAGCTCATTCTGTTGACAACAGACACCAAGAAAAAACTTGCTTATTACAGAAAAATTAAGTTTTATGCCAGCACACCACATGAGTAGATTACAGCATCAAGAAGCACAAATTTCAGATAAGATACTGCTAACTTTTTTGTCATTATGTGACTGCTAAGTTTGAAGCTAATATATAGATGGACAACCAAAGAAGGAACAAATTTTATTTGATGGCTATTTGGCAAAGATTAAGATACCTTAATTTTTTGCAATAATTTCAAATAGGTCTTTCAGTAGTTCAATTAGCCAGGCTTCTGTTACCACCCAACTGTATAGCTAACAAGTCTATCTTTTTGTAACTACCAATATTATTGCACTCAAGTTTTGGTAGTTAGCTCCATGGTTTTGCCCAGCAGCAATAGTCAATTTCTCTACATAAATTTTGGATGCGGTAGTTTGGCAGAATCCCGATGTTGTCTGGTCTGGGCCTGACCATCCCACTGCAGATTTTGTTGCATCTATTAATGTGTTTACTGCATTGCCATGACAGATATTCAAAGGTTGTTTCATGCCGGAACAGCCATGCCAATTATAGAGGCCATGCAAGATGATGATGAAGAAAACTTATACATAAGAAGCTAGATCTGAAGTCCATGGAACACTTACATAGGTACAGTTTAAGTAAATAGGATTAAGAGTGTAATAATCTCTGTACATTATTATTTATTACATTATACAGCCTTGAAGATTTTCATTGAAAAGAAAAGAAAGAAGACATCATCATCTCATTAAAACAGATTATTAGAAACTGAACAACAGTAGAAATGCATAATACACCCTAGAAAATAGGACAGTGGCGTCGAGCCAACAATAGGATACTAGAATCCAGCTACAGAAATCAGTTTCTAAAAAACGAATGAACAAAACAGGTTAAAAATTGTAAAAGTAATTCTATAAAGCAAATAAAGTAAGAGGGAAAGAGACCACTTGGAAGTATTGAAATGCAAAAAACTAACCTGCACCGCTATTTAAATTTTCTGAAGAAGGATGTACACTCCCTTCCAGATTCCTTGAGAATTCTGACCCTGAAGACGGTCTTTGACTTGTTTCAGGGCTCCTCAATTCTAGAGAAGTCCACTGACTTGCTTCAGGAATCCTTGTTGGCTGTGCTTGTGGTTGAGATGCTTGATCAATCGTAGGTCCCTGTGGTAGTTCACGTATTCCTTTAACATTACCACGTCCACGGCTCTTTCTATCTCGCCGGCCTCTACCTCGTGCAAATCCTATCATTTCCTGCAACATCGCATAAAATGTATAAATAAAAATTCAAATTTTGGGAAACATAAAATAATGAGACGTGGAGCCCAAGGACACTTGATGTGCCTTATACTAAGAACCCAATAATCAGACATCAAAAACAGTAAGGCCAAAAAAACAATGAAATACTTGCTTCAGGAATCCCTATTGGTTGTGCTTGTGGCTGAGATGCTTGATCAAGCGTAGGTCTCTGTGATGGATTAATATCTACAGATGACACCACTGGAAAATTATCACTTATTCCTTCAACATTACCACATCCACGGCCCTTTCCACCTCGCCGACCTCTACCTCGGGCATATCCTGTCATTTCCTACAACACCGCATAAAAGGGAAAAAAAACATTCAAAATGTGGATATACTATTGAAACCATAAAAATACAAATTAATGAGATGTGGAGCCCTAGAATGCTTGAAGTGCATTACAACTAAGAACTCAATAATCAGCCATCGAAAACAATAAGGCGAAAAAAATTGGAAAGCAAAAGCTAAGTACTTCAGAATATTCATAGCAGAAAAAGTTAACTGCAAGAAACTTATAACCCAATACATTTTTGGAAATTGAAAGCGGAAAAGTATTTGCACTGAGGCCAAAGTCCTTCCAAGAGATTCCAGCAAATTGTTCACTCAGGCTCAAGTTTCTCTGTTATTTGGCTGAACTTCTTTGAGAATCTCTAAAGCCTTTGTAAAGGAGACAGTTGAATGAGACACGTTAGACAAAAGAGTAAACAAAATTGAGACATAATATCGGTTTCTGAAATCTTCTTCAGAGTACGGACTTACTGTTATCAGGTTAATGCTTCTTATTGAAATTGTTTACTAGTTCTCTGTTATTATTCTGCTTAACTGACTTATATTATCACTCGTCAAACTGCAACAAGATTAATTTTTGTTCAATTAATAACAGTCTTCAAATGATCTTTTGCAGATCAAATGAACACAAATTCGAGGTCCCATTGTAGTCATCTGATCACTGAGCTCTTCCTTGGTCCCGTCCTTCTTCTTTTACAAGTCATCTCTATAAGCCTTCACTCATATTATAAGTCCCAAAACTTCCTCTCTTTTTTTTGTTTTTTGTATTTCATCAGTTTAAAAATATTCTCATTGTTAAATTAAAAGTTTACTATTGAGAATTTGAGATCAAATAACAGCCCTCCAAATAAGGGTTAGGGTTTCAGAAGCAACCAACCCTCAGCAGGTTTTGGCATAAAATAACAGTGCTAGGCTGGATTTATAGCTCGAGAAGCCCAATTCGAAATAAGTATCGGAAGAAACTGGTGAAAATTTGTACATAGTAGAAGAATATAATAATAAGACGAAATTAAATGAATGAAAAAGCTAACTTCTTAAAATACTTGGCTGTAGTTGATGCTTAATACACACCTTTTAAGCCCAGAGAATTGAGAGAAAGCAACCTTCCAAGTCTGATTTGGTAGTTTTGGCTTTGAGAAGCCTTCGCTGGAGTCTGTGGTGACGACGAGCTGTTTATGGAAATTGGGGGCTTTTTTGGTTTATTTCATTTCCTTTTTTAAAAGAAAAAGGAAACAGATAGCAATTGGTGGCGACCTAGTCACCATAAATAGGTTACGTGGCGATTAAAAAGGTCGTTAGTAAAAGTTTTTCGCTCGATATTCTCTTTGACTCTTCGCGGGAAGGGGGGAAACTTTTAAGTAGTTTTAGGGGTCTTTTCTGTTATAAATATATTATATTATGGATGTTCATTTAGTACTCCGTTGTAAATAAGCTTCTTG